GAGCTAGTAAAAATAGCAAAAACTGTGGCTTGTGAGATTCAGAAACAATCTTCAGCCACTTGGAAAAATAACTACTTTATAAAAAGAAAAGTAGTACTTGTGGCACCCTAGAGACTAACAAATTCATTTGAGCATAATCTTTTGTGAGCTACAGCTTACTGCGGGGGGTTGAGGGACTCAGTTTGTGGGGACCCTGGGACTTCCTGAGGGTTTGGGAGGTAGCTCACGAAAGCTTATGCTCAAATAAATTTGTTAGTCTCTCAGTTGCCACAAGTACTCTTTTTCTTTTTGCGGATACAGACTAACATGGCTGCTACTCTGAAACCTACTTTATCTATGGTATTTGTATGGTACGCATCACACTGGTATTCATTCACAATATATTTTGTGTCCCTAATAGTCTTACTTAATGGATAAGAAATTAGGAATGTGGTTTTAATGATGTGGAAGTGAGCAGGACGACTCAGGAAGTAGACAGCCAGGGCTGCAGTGCTGACTCAAAGACCTGGGTTGCTTTTTCCCAACAGGGGAGGGCTCACTGTTCCATATAGTAGAGATCAGACAAAACAGTGAAGGGTTTTCTTTGAGAGTTATACTATAGATGCTGTGGCTTTGACGAGTGTTTCCAGTTAGGAGAAAGAAATTAAGGAAATTGGACTGAGATACACAAAGCCTAAAGCATCTAACTTTCTGTTTGTTTAATTTCTTTCCCCATTTGGAGTTTGTCCACGTTTTCTTTTTACTTCACGTCTCTGTCAGCCTGAGCTGTGCAGAAGGGGCAAGGGATTCAATAAGCACCTTACTTACTCACCGTGACTGATGCCCTGTAATGGATTCAGCTAATGGGAACCAAATCTGATACTGTCAAATAGGATTAGCAGCCAAGCTGGCTGGTTTGAACTCTGCCTGAATGCCAAGCGGATAAGGGTCAGTGGGTTTCTTTTGGTATCTTGAGCAGCCTGTGTTGTCGGATTTCATATTCCACAATGGTCTTTGAGAGTGTTCTTTTGCTCTATGGTGGCCTTTTTCTACAGATTGAATTTATATTCAAAAGTCTAATTCCTTCTCCTGCCCCCCCCCCTTTTTTTGTTTGCCTTGTGTGCTCTGTCTAGTTTAATAGGTGGAGAAGAGAAATAGAGGAAAAAACAGAGTCTTGTCAGTTTACAGTTCTTTGTGGATGCCATGGAAGTTCCATAACTTATTTTCCTTTGGGTGACACCATGGGAGGTGAAAGTGTGCTTATATGGCCAAATGATGGCCCACAAAGTTCTGGAATGTGGTCCTTTTTCCCCTTCACCTTCAGCATAAAGATATGTCCTGCAGAAAGACCCTCTTGTATTAAGGTGCTACATGCTGCCCATCTTTGACACTTCAGCTGCTGTTTAAACCAGAAACACTTTTGGAAATCTTCAGATAACCATAAGATTGTTTCCCCTCTTTTCACATATTGACGTGCACTAGTGAGAGATCCATGCTTATATTATCTCCAGGCTCAACTAATACAGTGTAGTGTAACTACAGATGATTGAACATGCAGCAGCCCATTTAGTACTGTTATTTACCATTTGTATCTCTGTATTTTGGGAATATTTCAAATGGGGGAAACTTTTCTTAAAATTGTGAGACCCTCCACTACCCAGAAGAAAACAACAATAATGGCATCTACACAGTAGAAAATTCTGAAATATTAATGTAAGATTATGATGTCAGATGAATGTCTGGCAAATGTAAAAGGGATATGTCTAAAAGATGTGGTAGAAGAGAAATGTATATATTACTTATTACACAATCAACCTGTGGATTTACTGAGGAGAGTCATGTACCGGAAATTGTGTCAAATCTCATATTTTAGGGCAGAATCATCCCCTTGTACAGTATTGCATTGCACAGTGGTGTATCTCATTGGAGGCTTAAAATTGTTGCTGCTGTTCTGAAGTATTGGGTAATGGCCACCATCAGTGACCAGTGAAAAACAAATGTCCTGATCTACAATGGAAAATCCTGTCTTCTGCCGTTCATATTTTTTTTAAACTTTTTGGTTTTGTAAGAACTGGGTTTTTAAATTTATTTTTAGGCAAGCAGAAGATATTCTGGTATATTCAAATTTTCTAGAACTTCAAAAATTTTAATTTTCAGTCATTTATTTTTCCTTACCTTGAACAAAATATTGCTTAAGCTACGGTTTTATGACCTTCAGAGGTACAGATCAGGTATTTTCAGTGAATATTTCAGGATATACATATAAAAGCCAATAACCAATGCCATGTGGGGTTAAAATCTGTGGGTTATGTTTTGATGTTTAAATATTAAGGCTGTCGATTTAATCACAGTTAACTCATGCGATTAACTCAAAAAAATTGATCGTGATTAATTTTTTTAATCGCGATTCATCACACTTTTTAACAATAGAATACCAATTGAAATTTATTAAATTTTTTTGATGTTTTTCTGCATTTTCAAATATATTGATTTCTATTACTACACAGAATACAAAGTGTACACTGCGCACTTTGTATTATTATTTTTATTACAAATATTTGCACATTAAAAATGATAAAAGAATAGTATTTTTCAGTTCACCTAATACAAGTACTGTAGTGCAATCTCTTTATCATGGCAATGTAACTTACAAATGTAGATTTTTTTTTTTTGTTATGTAACTGCACTCAAAAACAAAACAATGTAAAACTTTAGAGCCTACAAACCTACTCAGTCCTACTTCTTGTTCAGCCAATCACTAAGACAAACAAGTTTGTTCACATTTATGGGAGATAATGCTGCCTTGCTTCTTATTTACAATATCACCTGAAAGTAAGAACAGGCATTTGCATGGCACTTTTGTAACTGGCGTTGCAAGGTGTTTACATGCTAGATATGTTAAGCATTCATATGCCCCTTCATGCTTCCGCCACCGTTCCAGAGGACATGCTTCCATGCTGATGATGCTCGTTAAAAAAATAATGCGTTAATTAAATTTGTGGCTGTTCTCCTTGGGGGAGAACTGTATGTCTCCTGTTCTGTTTTACCCGCATTCTGCCATATATTTCATGTTATAGCAGTCTCGGATGATGACCCAGCACATGTTCGTTTTAAGAACATTTTCACTGCAGATTTGACAAAACACAAAGAAGATACTAATGAGAGATTTCTAAAGATAGCTACAGCATTTGACCCAAGGTTTAAGAATCTGAAGTGCCATCCAAAATTTGAGAGGGGTGAGGTGTGGAGCATGCTTTCAGAAGTCTTAAAAGAGCAACACCCTGATGCGGAAACTACAGAACCCGAACCACCAAAAAAAGAAAGTCAACTTTCTGCTGGTGGCATCTGACTCAGATGATCAAAATGAACCTGCATGGGTCCACTCTGTTTTGGATTGTTTTTGAGCAGAACCCATCATCAGCATGGATGCACGTCCTCTGGAAGGGTGGCTGAAGCATGAAGGGACATATGAATCTTTAGTGCATCTGGGATGCAACTATCTTGCAATGCCATGCAAATGCCTGTTCTCACTTTCAGGTGACGCTGTAAACAAGAAGCAGGCAGCATTATCTCCTGCAAATTGTAATTGTCAGGGTTCCTTCCCCACTCTGAACCCGGGGGTACAGATGTGGGGACCTGCATGCAAGACCCCCTAAGCTTATTTTTACCAGCTTAGGTTAAAAACTTTCCCAAGGCACAAATTCTACCTTGTCCTTCAACAGTATGCTGCTACCACCAAGTGATTTAGACAAAGAATCAGGGAAAGGACCACTTGGAGTTCCTGTTCCTCCAAATTATCCCCCCAAGCTCTTACACCTCCTTTCCTGGGGAGGCTTGAGACTAATATCCTAACCAGTTGGTTACAAAGTGAACACAGACCCAAATCCCTGGATCTTTGGACACTGGGAAAAAAAATCATTCAGTTCTTAAAAGAAGAATTTTATTTTTAAAAAAAGAAAAGGTAAAAATCCCCTCTGTAAAATCAGGTTGGAAGATAACTTTACAGGGTAACAAAAGATGCACAAAACACAGAGGAACCTCCTCGAGCCTTAGTTTCAAAGTTACAACAAAACAGGGATAAACCTCCCTCTAACAAAGGGAAAATTCACAAGTTGAAAACAAAAAGTAATCTAACGCACCTTGCCTTATTTACTTACTCTTTTTGTAATATCAGAGACTTGTACAGGATGGTTTATAGGAGAAGACTTTTTTTCACCTGATGCGTCTCTGCTTTCCCCAGAGAACACACCAACAAAGCCCTCCCCCTCCCCTGCCCCACAAAAGATTTGAAAGTATCTTCTTTCCCCATTGGTCCTTTTGGTCAGGTGCCAACCAGGTTATTTGAGGTTCTTAACCCCTTACAGGTAAGGAGGAATTCTAGGCTACCTTAGCTGTATGGTTATGACAGTAACCAAACTTGCTTGGCTGAAGTAGGACTGAGTGGACTTGTCGGCTCCAAAGTTTTACAATGTTTTATTTTTGAATGCAGTTATTTTTTGTACATAATTCTACATTTGTAAGTTCAACTTTTCATGATAGAGATTGTACTACAGTACTTGTAATAGGTGAATTGAAAAATAATTTTTTACAGTGCAAATGTTTGTAATCGTAAATAAATATAAAGTGAGCACTGTACACTTTGTATTCTATTGTAATTGAAATCAATATATTTGAAAATGTAGAAAACATCCAAAAATATTCAAATAAATGGTATCCTATTATTGTTTAACAATGCAGTTAATTATGATTAATGGCCATTAATTTTTTAATCGCTTGACGGCCCTATTAAATATTGATGTTTATATAGGCATCAGGTCTCCAAGTATTCTTAGTTTGATAAATCGTTCTTGAATAGTAACCATCTTTGCTGAGGCTGTTGGATTTCACAGTCTTAATGAAGTTTCCAGAATCTGTCTGGGGTTTGCCACCACTCATTTTATTGTGGAAGTTGTGTATTCCTTGTCTAATAACTCTTTCCTTTCCTATCTAACCCAGTCTTGCTTCTACATGTGTAAACTCAGGTGGATGCACTACGATTACGTCTGGAGGAAAAAGAGACAATGCTGAATAAGAAGACAAAGCAGATCCAGGAGATAGCAGAGGAGAAAGGGACTCAAGCAGGAGAGATACATGACCTCAAGGACATGCTGGATGTGAAAGAACGCAAGGTCAACGTTCTTCAGAAGAAGGTAAGTTTGCAGATGTACAAGGTTCTGTGTCCTCTGATATAGCCTCATTCCTGGTATAAAATATCCAAGGCTGCCAAAACGTCCCTTTGTTCCTTTATTTACGTTTTTGAGGTTAGTGGGTGAATTTGTTGATGTTATGGGAAGATTGTTCATGATAAACTTGTGAGCTTAGTCAAAGTTTTGAAGGGAAATTAAAAAACAGCCCAAAAGCAAAACAGAGCAAACACCAGTGTTAACCTTTCAGTGATCCTATATGTTGCTTGTGCTTCTACCTTACTGTTTGTAATGACTGAAGTATTTGTGTGGTGGACATGTCATCCTGAAAACTCATCCTTCCCCACCCATTGCCTTAATTGGGGTGGTGGGGGGGAGACTTTAGTAGTTCAAGAAAATGATTATGTGCCAGCTCAGCCAGTTTCTCTCACCTGGCCAACAGATTTTTATTTGCTTAAGCTATGAACTTTGAGGGCTCAAGACAATATTGAGTTCAGTTAGAGCTAACCTTGTACAAAAGGGGAAATTCATGTGGAGATTAAGCAATTTGACCAAGGTCACATACTAAATCAGTACTATTTATTAATAGAATCCAGGAATCCTAACTCCCAGTCCCCTGTTCTAACATTTAGGCCACATATCTTTTACTATGGACTTGGCTTTTTACTGAAAACTTATTACTTTTTGGGGATGTACACAAGTCTGATTTCAGTGAAGTTATACCAGGAGTGGCTTTGAACCATGTGTTTAAATGAGCCGTAGTGCATCATACTCAATACTGGTTGAGCTCCCTGTCATACTTTTTGACCAAGAAGCTTGGATATATAATAATTATTTAAAATGTTGCTAGACCATATATAGAGGTTGTGATAAATGAAGGGGAGGGGGGACAGCTCCCTTTTATGGACAGCCAGCCAGCCAGTTAGCTATAAAATTCCTCTTAGTTGCTGTTCTCTACTTGCTTTACCTGTAAAGGGTTAAAAAGTCCACAGGTAAAAGGAAGAGATAAGCACCTGACCAAAAGAGCCAATGGGGGGGCTAGAACTTTTTAAAATTAGGAAAAAACTTGCCCTTTGTCTGTCTGTCTGGTGTTCTCCAGGAGAACAGAGACAGGGCTGGAACTATGCTGTAAAAAGCTTTGGGCCAGGTATGAAAATCATCAGATCATACCTAGAAACTACTAATTTAAAAGCCCAGATATGTAAGTAGGTCATGAAATGTCTAGGAAGACGTGATTAGGTTTATCTCTTTTATTTCTTTATGGCTTGTGGACTCCACTGTGCTAACCCCAGGTGCTTTTGTTTTGCTTGTAACCTTTAAGCTGGACCTCAAGAAGCTATCATGATGCTTAATCCTTGTAATTGTTTTTTTAAAACCTAGGAAAAAGCCTAAGTTCCAGGGGTATTTTCTTTCTTTTTGTTTTTAATAAAATTTACCTTTTTTAAGAACAGGGTTGGATTTTTGTGTCCCTAAGAGGTTTATGCATATGTTTAATTAGCTGGTGGCAACAGCTGATTTCCATTATTTTCTTTCTCAGCTCTTCCCCAGAGCGTGGGTGAAAGCTTGAGGGTATCCCACAGCATGGAATTCCCAAGTGCGCCTTCCTGGGTTTTCAAGGAGTTTTTGCACTTGGGTGGTGGCAGCATCTACCCATCCAAGCTGTAACCTTGGGAGTTTAAATCAAGCCTGAAGTGGCCAGTATTAATTTTTAAAATCCCTGCGGACCCCCACCTTCGGGACTCGAAGTGCCAGAGTGGGGAATCCGCCTTGACAGAGGTTTATGAGGATGGCTTCAATCTTTAAGCTAATGGACTTGGCCCTCTAACGTGAATATCTTTATTTCCTGTACTATTTATTACATGTGGCAGATTTTTTAGCATTTCTTCTGAAGTGAAATTCATTTTCTGTCTTCATTTATACAAGTCAGAATTCTGCTGTTCGCAAGGATTGTCTGTCATATCTTTTAATGAAAGTTTGAATTGTCAGTTACAGAAAATGTGTACAGACTTTAGTCTGTTTTGTTTCTATCTGCGGTCTATTCATTTTTCTTTGCTGGCTTGATCTAGCCCCGCTACCCCCACCCCCTCACTAGCATTTACGACTGGCAATCCTGACGGAGTAGGCTTTAATCTGTATCTTCTAGTTGGATACACTATGAATATCAAAGGCCTTATGGCTCTACTCTAGTTTTAAACATCTCCTGATACAATGGCTGTTGCCAGTAAAACTGTTAATATTTCATGTTGTCTTGGCTGGTGTGATGCTGGAATCTTGTTTGAGATCTACCCATGTTATCTCGATATGGAACACAATAAGATCCTCTGAAAGGAAACTGGCAGAAGAACAAGTTTTCCCATTGTGCAGTGTTTCTAGATTTGCTTCTGTGGATATTAGGTGTGTCATCAGCAGCATCTGTCCGCTTCTGGTGGCAGTGAAGTGGAATTGGTGACATGTTGGATGAACTTGGTTGAACTAGGTGTTGTACAAGCATTTATTGTTTGTTCAACTTTTATTAAATGCTTCTCCCTCCCACCGGACATTTTCATTATAGAGAACTTCTTAGCTTGCACAGAAAAAATGATGACTAGGCAATATTTAAATTTGGAAATAATACCTGGAAACTAAGGGTCTTAAAGTTGAAAGAATCTGATTATTATTATAAGTAGTAGCAGTAGCAATACTGTAGCACAGAGGAAACCTGGTTATGGACCAGGATCCTATTGGGCTAGGCACTGTTTATCTAAATAATCCTTTAGGCAAAGTGATATGCTGTCTGTTAAAATTAAGAAATATCATCTCTAGCGGTAAAGTTGTCATAGCCAAGATGTTTTGGGGTAAATTATGCTGTTAGAGAATGATACTGTCAAGTATCTGTGGCCCAAAATTTGATCTGTTTTAAAACTGTTGGACAAAATCCTATGATTCTAAATAATTATTCTAGGTATTTGATCATCTGTTCAGATAACTAAAGAAATAGTTTTTGGGGGATTCACAAAAATCTTTACTATGCTCTACCTACTCTCTTTGCAACAAAAGCTATCTAAAGCACTCCTTCTGAAGTTGTTGGATTCCTGCCTGGACTGGTTGGCATAGATAAATGTGTAGTGCGTTTTGTGCACTGCTAAGATCACTGCTGAGGCTGGTATATAAAAGAGGTAAACAAGGAACTATGCCTTCCAGTCATTCAAAAGATGGAAGAAAGAGGGATAGTGATGTTTACTAGCTGGCTAATGATAAAATCAAAAAGAGAAGATTAATTTTAATTCACCACTTTTAAGAGGGCTATTAATAATGCAGAATTTAAATAAGTATGAAAGTCCATTGGCATCACCACTTAAGTTGATATGCAACAAAACGTAATGTCTTGAATCTTTTCAGGCAAATCTCGTCTAGCTCACATTTCAGGTACTAGAATCACTCCACTTTGGAGTTCTTACAATTACAATGTTTTTGAGACAGCACCTTTATTTAATGCAATGTAAGGAGATATTATAAAATGTACTGAATATGGAGCCTGGAAAAGTGATGCACAGCTCTCTCTCCCTCTGTTTCACTGGCAGAAAATTAGTTTAACAGAACAGTCAATACCTTTGGAGGAGCCTTGTGTTTTCTTTTTCAATGAAAATAAATCTAGCAGAAAAGCTTATGCATTATGTTGGTTAGGGTCCACAGAAGGAGAGAATGATGTGGAGAGGATGAGCTGAGTATCACTAGCATTCACTCATTATCATCCTCCTTGCTACTTCAGTCTTGGAAGGTAGATGGGAACAGAAAATTTTCAATACCAATAATTGAAGCAGTTTGAAAGAACCACCTCTGAGGCTACAGACACATGGCTATTACTGTGAGACTGTAAAGTATAATAACATGACAAACCTGTGCTTTTGTACATGTATCATTGAGCTGGTGACATTTCTAGTCAACATCATTATCTTGTTCATTATTATGATCTCTGAGAGTGCATAGATGGCATAGATGCCAGATGGCAGCAGGAGAGTGTTAGAAGGGAGCCTTATTCCCTGAGAGGGAAGAAAGTTTGCTATAAATTAATTAAAGCACCTGAAGCCAGTTAAAGCACCTGAAGCCAGTCACATGATAAACCGACCCCCCCCCCCCGCTTCAATCAGACAAGAGGAGGAGTTGAAGCAGAGTGGATTGGTGTTGAAGCAGAGCGGATTGGTGTTGGAGCAGAGAGCAGTTTGGAGGGAAGCAGAGGAGAGTTTGGAGAAGTGCTGCGGTGGGCTAAGAAGACCAAGACTCTAGGTAAAGGGACACCTGGTTTATGCAGAAGGAGGGCAGGAAGCCCCACAAGCTGAAGGGCAGGAGAGGGAAGTAGCCCAGGGGAAGGAACCGCTAGTTCTAGTGGTTTACCGCTATCCTAGGGGCCCTGAGCTGCGACACACATCTGTAGGGCCACGACATGGTCATCTATCCATACGTTCATGTCCCACTGTGTCTGAGGCAATGCTAGTTTTGGGGGGGCAGTGTTAGCTTATCCATGAACTTCGAGCACTCCTCCAAGGTACTGCTTGTGAGTCACTTAGCATAGATTCCAAATGAGCAAGCCTTCAAAGAAGAAAAAACGGTTACCTATCTTTCATAACTATTCTAGATGTGTTGCTCATGTCCAGTCCATGACCCATCCTCCTACTCTTCTGTTGGAGTTGATGGCAAGTAGGAACTGAGAGGGTGTGGGGCTGGCGATGCCCCTTATAAATGTGGGGCATCCAGGGGGTGCTAGGGCTGGTCCTACAGATACTGAACTTAAGGGGAAAAATCTCTGGCAACTGTGCACATGGGCACGCACACACCCTAGCATGGAATGGACACGAGCAACACATCTCAAAGAACTACAGTTTTGAAAGGTAGGTAACCATTTTTTTGCCTTCTTCATCAACGTCTCGTCCACCGCAGGCTGAGCCTCTGCCCGTACCAGAGGAGGAAGATGAGCAGGAGAACATTCCACCGCCACTCCACTTTTACTCTTCCTTCCTGATGAGGCTATC